CCTTAAAAAGCTACAACTAGAACTACCATATGACCCAGCAATCCCACTACTGGGCATATACCCTGAGAAAACCATAAATCAAAAAGAGTCATGTACCACAATGTTCAACGCAGCACTATTTACAGTAGCCAGGACATGGAGGCAACCTAAGTGTCCATCGACAGATGAATGGATAAAGAAGATGTTGCACATTTATAAAATGGAATATTATTCCGCCATAAAAAGAAAGGAAACTGAGTTATTTGTAGTGAAGTGGACAGACCTAGAGTCTGTCATACAGAGTGAAGTAAGTCAGACAGAGAAAAACAAATACTGTATGCTAAACATATTTATTGAATCTAAAAAAAAAAGGTTCTCATGAAACTAGGGGCAGGACAGGAATAAAGACACAGACGTATAGAATGGACTTGTGGACACATGGTGGGGGAAGGGTAAACTGGGACAAAGTGAGAGAGTGGCATGGACATATATATACTACCAAATGTAAAATAGATAGCTAGTGGGAAGCAGCTGTATAGCATAGGGAAATCAGCTTGGTGCTTTGCGAGCACCTAGAGGGGTGGGATAAGGAGGGTGGGAGGGGGACGCAAGAGGAAGGGGATATGGGGATATACGTATGCATATAGCTGATTCACTTTGTTATACAGCTGAAACTAACACAACATTGTAAAGCAATTATACTCCAATAAAGATGTTAAAAAATATATACAGTATCACTACCTCCTCATCCCTGTTACCCCATTCTCGTTTACCCCCCCTTTTTTCCATTCTTTTCACACCTGTTCCCTATAGGTAACCAGTCTCCTTAGTTTCTGATTTATCTTTTCTGTATTTCTTTTGCACATATGGGCAAAAGCAGAATGTTTTCTTATATTCCTTTCTTTCTTAGCCCAGCATTGTATAGATAAATCTTTTGTGGTTTGCATTTTTCTTTTAGCAGTATGTCTTGGCAACCACTTTATATCATTTCACAGAGTTCTTCCTCATTTTTTAAAATAGCTGCTGAGTATGCCATTGTATTATATACCATAAATGTATGAACACTTAGGTTGTTTCCAATATTTTGCAATTACAAACAGTACTGCAATGAATAACCTGTGCATATGTATTTTTCCATTGTTGGAGGTGTATATTCAAGTGAATAGCACAGATCTTTCTTCCCCTCCAATCCTTCTTTCCTCCAGGGAACCAAGAGCTGTGCTGATGTTATTGCCCATATAATGTTTTCTTTCTTAGCTCTACGTTTGAAGTCTGTAATCTCTGACAATAAGCACAGATTGTGGTCAAGTGTACACTTTCTGAGAAAGCCTTCACTCCCTGTCTCAGCCAATAATTTGGGTGGCACCCCCAGCCTTGTACTACAGTAGTGGTTTTCAACCTTGTCTGAACATTAGAATCACCTAGGAGCTTTTAAAATACCATGCCTAGGAATGCTCTAGGTAGATTCTGCAATTAATGCAGGATCTCTGGGACCCAGGCACCTATATTATTTTGAAGTGCCCCCAGAAATTCCAACGTGTGGCTAAAGTTGAGAACCACTGGTTATATCCTTGAAATGTTACAATAATCTCCTGGCCTTCACCATACTGCCTGTGATTTGAGCCAGCTGCAGGAGTGTATCCTAGATGATTAGGAGGTGCTCCACTCAGAGAATTCCTCATTTTTACCTGGAGAAGAGGTAAATACCTGCTGGCCTAATTTCAGGAGGATCTGTAAAAGTCTTTAATGAAACAGAAGTTCAGCCTAGCTAAAAAAAGTTCTTTCTCACATAGAATCTGAATGACAGGTACAAGTTGCTTCAGGGCGAGAAGGAAGAATATTAAATTTCCCTTTCTCCCCTTCAACACACAAATATGGGTACCTTCCTTTGTAGTTGGTGGTATTAATAAGACTTTGTAGGGAATTCCCTGGTGGTCTAGTGGTTGGGACTTCACACTTCCACTGCAGGGTGCATGGGTTCGATCCCTGGATGGGGAACTAGGATCCTGCATGTCGCATGGTGCAGCCAAAAAAAAAAAAAAGACTTTGTAAAGCAAAAGTCGACCAATAACACTGTTTATCATCAAATCAAAGATGCCACAAGTTATAAGACACATGATTATCTTATCTTAGTGATTCTTAGCACTAACAAACCCACTGGTAAATATGAGATATAATCAAATGTAAGATATATCCCTATTTCAGAGATTTTTAAATGTGGAAAAGTGTACATATTAGAATTGATGAAATACAGTAGATCTCTAGCCTAGACTTCTTTGAACTCCATGCTTGTAGGATCACTTCAATTTCTCACAGGCTCCTTAAACTCAACTTGTCCCAGTGGGGTACTCTTCATCTACATTGCCAAAGCTATTCCTTTTCCTGCATTCTCTACTTGGGCAAATGGAACCACCAAACTAGAAACATGGGAGTCACACCAGCCTCCTGACCTTCTACTTTCCACATGCAAAAGGTCTTTCCCATTCAGTCAGTTCTGCCTGGTACCTCTCTCGAATGCATTACCTAGGTCTTCCTCATCTCTACAAGATTACTGTAGTAATCTCCTAACTGCTTTCCACCCCTCTAATCAAGCCCCGCTCCACACTGTCCTTGTTTTCTTTCTTTAAGCATCAATCTGATCATATTATTCCTTGCTTAAAAATCGAACAAGGGCTTCCCTGGTGGCGCAGTGGTTGGGAGTCCGCCTGCCGATGCAGGGGACATGTGTTCGTGCCCCGGTCCGGGAAGATTCCACATGCCGCAGAGTGGCTGGGCCCGTGAGCCATGGCCGCTGAGCCTGCGAATCCGGAGCCTGTGCTCCGCAATGGGAGAGGCCACAACAGTGAGAGGCCCGCGTACCGCAAAAAAAAAAAAAATCAAACAAGATGAATACTCCATCCAAAAAATAGACAGAGGATATGAACCGGTCACCTCACAGAAGAGAAAAATACACACTTATACATGTGAAAAGCTGATCATCCTTATTAGGAAATAAATGTAACAATGACATTTTTTCACCCACCCAGTTGGCAGCGTTTGAGAGAACTGATAATAATGAATGATTACAAAGGTGTGCAGAAATACTCCTACATACCATTGTTGGTAGTACAGTATTTGAGATGCATTTTGGCCACGTTTTGGATATGTGAAGGAATGCAAACTGCCTGTTAAAAACCAAAATTCAACCAAGTAAGTTTGAAGATCTAATTGGCATTATTAAACTAGATGGGCAGCATCCCATCTAGTAAACAGAAGGGCACTCTGAGGGATGTATAAAATGGAAGCTTTTTATAGGAAGAAGGGTAGGGTAAGGGAGTTATTAGCAAAAGAAAAGAAAGGATTATTTTTAGGTCAAGAGACCTTCTTTCTGGGAGGAAGGGAATGGCAAGGGTTTTATCATGCAGATTGCTCCTTTTGGAGGGTGTTGGGTGGTAAGCAGAGGTGGAGAGGGCCCAGGAGACATTACCTCATTGGTGCTGAAAATACCAGACTAGCCAATAAAGATTACATTTCTGGTGAAGGTTTGAAACTGCATTTCGATCAGGTGTTAGATCTAGATCCGTTTGGGGCCTGTGGTTTTCTCTTTAACATATCTAATTTCTCTGAGCCTCAATTACTGCACTTGGTCAAATGGGGCCAGCAGCTACTCTAATGTTCTCAAGGAAATGAGATAATTTTTTTCTTTTTTTTATAAATTTATTTATTTATCTTTGGCTGCATTGGGTCTTTGTTGCTGTGCGTGGGCTTTCTCTAGTTGCAGCGAGCGGGGGCTACTCTTCCTTGCGGTGCGCTGGCTTCTCATTGTGGTGGCTTCTCTTGTTGCGGAGCACGGGCTCTAGGTGCGTGGGCTTCAGTAGTTGTGGCACGCAGCCTCAGTAGTTGTGGCATGCAGGCTCAGTAGTTGTGGCACACGGGCTTAGTAGCTCTGCAGCACGTGGGATCTTCCCAGACCAGGACTTGAACCCGTGTCCCTTGCATTGGCAGGCAGACTGTTAACCACTGTACCACCAGGGAAGTCTGGAAGTGAGATAATTTAGGGGAAAGTAGTAATAGCTAACATTTACTGGGCACTTGCTGTTCTAAGTATTTCATATGTGTTTACTCATTTAACCTTCACAATAACCCTGTAAGAACTACCCCCGTTTTACGTATAAGAAAACTGAGACACAGAAGATAAAATACTGCCCAAGGGGTGAAGTTAGTACTAAGAAAGGAGCTGGGATTACTGGCTACATAAGAGGCCACATAATCTACATAAGAGGATCTAGCTCCAGTCCTACGTTTTTTGCAGCCAACCTACGCCCATCTTTCCTTTTTGTCATAGCCCACAGCGTCCATAGTCAAAACCTGTTTATACAGAATTTGCCCATTCGCTAGTTTCATCAACTAGCCTCTAGTAGCTTTGGGTATCTCGTCACAGTTCTGTCTGATTGAGTTCCAGGGAACTCAGCCACCTCCCATTCCAATTCACTTCCAGGGTCCGGGTCAACGCTGGGTACACGGTAAATCCTTAGATAAATTCTATCGGACGTTTCTATGGGATCGATGTCATACCTTTACAAGTGTGAAACAATTCTCACGAGACTGAGACAGATACACGATAACTAGGCTACATACAGGGCGAGTACCGCCTTGTCGCGTACAGCTGCGCTCCACACTCGAGCTCTGGGACCAACCGTTCCTGCTGTGCTACTTCAGGCACTCGGCCGGAACCCTTCCGGCGGCATCTGAGGCAGCCCGCCGGGACAACGCCGCTGAACGCACAACACGGGAAGGATTAGTAGTCTAACTATGTGCCTAAATTCTCTAGCTCACTTACATGATCCGAGGGAAAACACCCCCAAATTCTTGCACTTTTAAAAAAAACCTGAGTGACGATAGCATTTTTATCCATTAAAAAATATCATAATCAAGTGATTCCGAGAGAGTTTTTTTTTTCTTTTTGGTTAGGCATATATATGGACAGCCCACTTGAAAGAACAAGGAAGGCGAGGGAAGAAAGCGGAAGCCGTGGGGTCTTCTAAACCAGAAAGTCTCCGGAGCTTGTGCCAGGCTCTTTGCGGCGTCACCCAGTTAGACGCAGGTTTTGGAAGCGGTTGGAAGAGAAGGTGTCGTTGCTGGAGCTGAGACCAGACGGCCAGAATCCTCAGGGATGAACCTCGAGTTACTGGGTGAGGAGGACTATGGCTGCTTCTTAGAGAACCTTTTGGTCCTGGAAAGGAGGGAACCCAGGCGGAGGGGACTCAGGCTGCAACATTAGGGACACAGTTCTAGATGCATCTTTTTGGGCGCCTTGATATGGAGCAGCAACAGGGAGAGGAAGCCGAGCTTCTGCCTGAGCGGAATGCATTGCTTCTCCCGAGGCTACTTTGCAGTTCAATTGTGAAGCGTTAGGGAAAGATAGTTTGTGACTTAGTTTCGATTACAAGGATCACAGGTGCTGAAGTAGCCCAGAGCAGGCAGGACCAGAGTTACTGGGGGAAGGAATCTGAGGAAGTGAGGCTTGAGGTAAAGCTTTGAACACTTGTCAGGGTTTTGGGTGAAGCATGGGGTTTTGAAGAAACATGGGGTGCCTAAGGAGGGGAACGTGTTTATCTTCTAGTACAAGTTCCTCATTGAATAAATTAAAAAAGGCTCAGAGGGTACTGACTTGAAGGCACTCAGAGAGTAAATGGTATAGTTGGCATATAGGTGGCACTGGAATCCAGTTACCTTGACTTTCTGTTTAAGGTCTTTATCAGGGACGGTGTGTAAAACACTGAGGGGTGAACTACAAGGCAGGTTACTTTTGTCACCCTCTCTGATTCATTTCCTCCTTACCCTTTACCCAAGTTGTTTATAAACAGTAGGTTCTTCTGGGTTTTCATTAGGTAATATTTAGCATCGTAGCCTAAGGATGTCTGAGGTTTTCAAGAACTAAGCGACTTGCTATTTTCAGTGGTTGTGTTTCTCTTTAAAAAAGTTAAATTCATGAGATATACTGGCAGTCTTAAAGACTGTAAAGCTATTTAAGGAATGGTCTTTGCTTTTAAGGAGCTTTTTGTTAAGTGTGGAGAATAGGGTGTTTATGTAAATAGCTATACTATTGCAGAATATAGGTCACCCTTTTTTAAAAAATTTACTTTTTATACAGTAAGTTCTTATTAGCTATCTGTTTTATACATATTAGTGTATATATGGCCAGCCTTAAAGAGTCTTTACTAAGGGCTAAGAACATTTGGAAGAGGGAGTGAATATCTTTGGGGCAGGGGAAGAAAGGTAATCAAGAAAGAACAAACACAAACAACCAAAAAACCAAACCTGTGGAGGATTTGGAGTTTTGAGTGGATATTTAAGATTGGTAAAATATTGACAGACTGAAGTATGAAGTTATTGGAAGGAGTGTTTATTAGGAATACGTTTGAGCTAAGACATCAGTGAGGTGAGTCCTAAAGGTATTTTCCGGCTTGGCCAGGTTGTGGGTACTGTGAATAAGGAGAAGGCCAAGAGATGGGATTAGTACCATCTACTCCTTGGAGGCTTTTGAATACCCAGCTGAAAAGCTGTGCTTTTTAAGGAAAGTAGGGCAGATCCATTGAAGGGTTTTGACCTGGTAAGTGACTCAATCAGAGCTGTGATTTTTTTTAAAAAAAGATTTATCTGACAACAGTGTGTAGTTGAGTCTGCCAATTTGGAGGGCTAGAGTAGATGAGGGATAAAGAAGGTCTGAACTAGAAAATGGAAAGAAAAGACATTGAGAAGGTAGAGTTGACAATTTGAAAATTGACTACATATCATGGTGGTAGTGGCACTGGTGGCGGTGCTGGTGGTGAGGAAGGGAGTGAAGTGAAAAATGATGGGAACTGTGATGGTGCTATTCATAAACATTTAAGGACATTTGGAAAAGACAGTTAGCATTGGGTATGTTGAGTGTGGGCCTGTGGTTCAGAAGATGGGTTTGGATTTATGAGAGAGATTTGTAACCTTCCTACAGGTGGGCTAGACAAAACCTTGTGAGGAGATGATAAGACCCAGGGAGAAAGTGGGAGGGGAAGAAAAGAAAACCGCTGAGGACAGAATCTTGGACAATCATCTATATTTAGGGAATAAGAGGAGGAATAAATGATAATATATCAACTAACAGTTACATAGTACTTACTATGAGCTAGGCCTATTTTCAAGTGCTTTTCATATATTTATTCATGTAGAGGTAGAAGAGAATGCAGGTTGGTGTGGTGTCTTCCGTAGAAGCAGTTGTAGAGCAGTTGAGGCTAAGAGCTGAGAAAGGGCTACTCTACTTAGTTCTTGGGCAACTTTGGGCTCCTTAGCAACTTGAACAGAAGCTGAGTTACAATGATTTTAGGAAGATGAGTGACATGGACTGGAGGCAAAGGGTTGATGTTTATTTTTAAAAACTTAACTATGGAGGAAAGGTGATAGATAGGCTCATACCTTGAAAGAAAGAGCAGATGGGAAAGATTTTTCTTGTATGATACAGAAGATTCATGTGGGTAAAACTTAGGAAGGAATATTTAGCATTGGAAGGTTAGACAATTTAAAAGAAGGCTGACTGGATTCAAAAGATATAAATCTCTATGGGAATGACTTGAGTTTTATAGCAAGAAAGTTAATTATTACAGATATAAAGGAGAAAGGAACAGAAGTAATGTGATTGTGGGAGCATACCAAACCGTAGCTGGCCAGATAAAGGGAAGGAATGATAATGTATTCTTAACGTGGACTCTCAAATGCTTTTACCTCTGCAACCACTTCTGAGCCCTTGCTGTGTATTAGGCAGTAGGCACTGGAGGTAAAAGTTAAATAAGAGTTTTTCAAACTTACTTTTACTACAGCTCATCGTAAGAAATGTATTTTCTATCACAGTCCATTATACATACATACACATATAACTGTTTCTGAAAATGATACTAATTGTTATGCTCAGTGTCCTCTGATATCTTCTGATCTATTAAAAAACTTTTATGGTATGGCTCACTGAATGATTTATCCATTTGTGGTGGATTGGCTCCTAATGTTTGATAAACACTGAAATAAGATACAGCTTTTGCCCTGGATAAATACATAAAACTAGGAGGATAGGGGCATAAACAAATAACTATGAAATGGAACCACAGTAAATAGTGGGAACCCCATTATGGGAATCCAGCTGAAAGAGCAATTAATTCTGCCTCGTTGGGGTTGGCGGTAGAATTTGGGGATGACTTTATAGAGGAAGTGCCATTTAACGCAGACAGTAAACATGGAGGAGGATTTTTCCAGAGGGACAAATGGAGAAGGTAATTACCAGTGCAGAGAACAGTAGGGGCGAACATTCTGAGGCATGAACATGTGATACATATTCTGGAAATGGTTAGCAGTTTCCAGCTGGTGCTTAGGGTGGATTATGCAAGGTTCTGTCCCAGGTGCTAATGCGGAGTTAGTCAAAGATAAAAGGGAAAATACTGGTTGGGGCCAGATTATTGCTTTTTAAAATTATACTTAGGAGTTCAGCATATTGTTTAACAAGGGAGATTTTTGAGCAGGTAAGTGACATGATGAGATTTGGGGCTTAGAAAGTTGGCTGTAGCAGCTTTCTTAAGGATTGATGAGGGAGGCCAGACTGGAGCCAAGGAAATATAGTAGTTATGGTAGCGATGGCATCAGATTGGGGTGTGGTAAGATCAGTTATTTAGCCACCTGCAAGTTGCATTTCTCTAAAAAGAAATGCTGCGGATTGTGTCGTCACCTGTTAGACTGAGGAAGTGGAATGGAAACTGCTACTCTGGACCTAACTTACGGTAGGGAGGAATTGGTTGGCAAGTTGAAAATACTTTCACTGGGAGAAAAGGACCACGAAATTTTAGAGTTCATGGTAACCGAGTTTTTAAGGAGGTGGATGTTGAGCAATTTAGAGAATAGATATTATTCCAAGACCTAGAAAGCTAAAAGGTAGTTTGGAGGAAGGGTCCTAACTGGGAAAAAAGGAGGAGGCACCTGAGGGAACTGGTGTGCTTGCACTGAAAGCAGTCTAAACTCAGATTCCGAAGAGGCATGTACAAAAGAAGGGCACGTTGCTGAAGGTGAATATATGAGGGTGGCACTAGCTGTTAAGAATAGTGTCAGGAAAGCTAATGTGACTGAAGGCAAAGATTGTAAAAATGAGGCAACTAGAAAGGGTTTTTAACATTATGTGGAGTGCTAAGAGCAAAGAAGTTTCCTGCTTGGTTGGGCTGGATGGTGTAATACCAAAATTATTCATTCAACACTCAACAAATATCTTTCATGCGCCTACTCTGGGCTTTTATAGTTTATAGGCAAAAGGGAAGTGGAATACTTCTTTTTTTTTGAATTTTATTTTATAATTTTTTTTATACAGCGGGTTCTTATTAGTTGTCCATTTTATACATATTAGTGTATACATGTCAATCCCAATCTCCCAATTCATCACACCACCACCCCGCCCCCACCCCCCACCCCCGCCGCTTTCCCCACGTGGTGTCCATACGTTTGTTCTCTACATCTGTGTCTCTATTTCTGCCCTGCAAACCGGTTCATCTGTACCATTTTTCTAGGTTCCACATATATGTGTTAATATTTGTTCTTCTCTTTCTGACTTACTTCACTCTGTATGACAGTCTCTAGGTCCATTCACGTCTCTACAAATGACTCAATTTCATTTCTTTTTATGGCTGAGTAATATTCCATTGTATATATGTACCACATCTTCTTTATCCATTTGTCTGTTGATGGGCATTTAGGTTGCTTCCATGAGGAATGCTTAACTTCTTATTTTTCTTTTGCCTTCTCTGGGGAAAAGGATTTTTGTTTGTTTTTGAACAAATAAAGTGATCATTGGTTATGGCCAAGAAGAGTCCTCAATAGGTAGAGATTTTAGATGGGTCACTTAGTTCACTTCTCTTGGTCGAATTATATTCCTTGGCCGTGAAGGAACTTGGCATGTGAAATAATGTCGGTGATCTTTGAGAGTTGGGGAGAGGAAAGAAGACATGCTGAAAGAAAGAAGATGGGCAGAATTTTGACTATTTTCAATAAAGGGCAGATGTGTTTTGCAAATCATAGACTAGTAACCTTGAGGTCAAATTTGGGCAAGATTATAGAGGCTTTTTAGTGCAGTTATAGTTAAGAGTAGGGTTTCTTGGTCAGGTTCCAGTTTTGCCACTTTTTAACTGTC